ATGTGATCTTTTTCCATATAGTATATGTGACTTGCAATTTCCCAATAGAAAACATTTCCTATCGAGTTAGAGAATGAATTATTTCAGACATTGTGACATCAATATGCACTGCCATATAACATGAACTAAAAGACATTAATTTTAAGGTATTTAAATGATCAAAATACACTTAAATGTGTTCAATGCATATTGAACATGTCTGGGTAACTTAGTAGATAGTGTGATAAATTGACTCCACTCAACCGCTCATAATTTCTTCCAGGCACAGGGAAACCACTCATTTTGGCATGAAAAATTGCCATCTGGATGTTATTAACAGCCAATAAATGTGTTCTCTCATCCATGGATTGTAGTGTCTGAGTTATGTATGTGCAAAATGCAGAGCAAGGGTCATGATTCTCTTCAGATGATGGTTTCTTATTGTCACTTTCCAAAGATTGTACCAAATTCTTCAGAATTTACAGTTCTTCATCATCTCTTATTTGCTTAGTACTTCTTTTAACCTTTTGTAAAGGCTTGCTTTTGTTTTGCTGTTTCAATCAACGTATCTTTGAATAAGGCCTGGTTTACATATACGTGCATGATGAATTCAACTTTGAGGCGATTTTCCCATAGGCAGCTGTTTTTCTATTTCTGTAGCAGTAATCTGGATTTGATCCTGCCAACAAACAAGGCCTCACTTGCCACAACTTGACCAACAAATCTTCCTTTATCCTCAGACCAAACGGTATCTTCTTTCATATCATTTTTTGTCAGCATTTACCATACATTCATCAGCCATGTTGTTCTTCATATCAGTAGGTAATTATTTTGCCGTCACAGATTAGACGCCGTACGCTCAGGCACGTAAATAATAGGGGGGCGTGGGGGGCGTAACGCCCCCCAAAGTTTGGAAAATCCAGTTACAGTTGGAAAACATAACGGTTGACTTGGAATTTTTTCTTAGGACCAAATTTGTGAATTTTACATTTTAAGAAGTTTATTTATTTCAAATGTAAAAATTCTAAACATCAAAATTCACAGGCTGAAGCTGACCCATCCAGTAATCGTTTTCTATTGGGAATCCCGTCTCCACTGGATCCAAATTGCGCAATTGCCCCGTTTGCTTTCTTTCTGACGGGAGTTGAATCAAATTACGAACAGGCAAGGTGAATTTCTGGATAAGAAACTTGAAACTTTACAGTTTGGAATAATAATTCCCGTATTGATCAGAAAATATTAGAGTGGAAGTTTTTTAAGAAACTACGAGTAGTTAATTCAATAAAAGATTAATAATCTTTCAGTACTAAAAATTCTCAACGCTTCTTATAAAAACGAATTTATGCTAAACTCCCCCTGTTATTTGTTAACGTCCTTGACTCCTTATCATAAATTCCCATGACAAAACTGCTGTGAAGCAAGAACACATTGCAAAAACTGCAGTAGAAGTATTTGATCAAGAAAAGTGTTTCATCTTTCGAATAAGGCATATGCACAAGTTTGTTCTCAAATCATCATTTCAATTGTAAAGAATGAAAAGGCATTTGGCCCTCTGAAAATTGTTAGTAGTTTTCTTCGATCAAGAACAAAATTTAAAGGCTCAAATTCTTGGTGCTTCTATATCGTGAAAAAATGTATTTTAGATAAGATTGATCTGCGCCAATTGATTAATTGATCAATTTAGATGAAATTGATCAATTGATCTAAAAGAATACTACTTAAATGTTGCTTTACTTCTTACTGTAAGTTTAAATGTCTGTTTCATGTTAATCAAAATTTAGAGATTCAGGCTTTTATGCTTTAGGCTAATTATTGAGTAAAGTTTTGGTAATTATAAAGAAAATAGAAATATGGTGTTCGGGCTATTTACAAATATCAATTTGGTAGGTACAGTAGATTTACTGGACAAATGAAAAGTTTCTTACTTGATTATTTTTGATTGGAATTTTCATCCTTCCACGCCCCCCCAAAGTAAACAACTTGTTTTCGTCCCTGCGTACGCTGACTGGTCAGTCCACTTTATCTCGAAGATTTTTGTCTTTTACCACCGCACAAGGCACGATCTTTTTCTTTGACAGTCCAAGAGGAAAAAATATCAAACAGATTGCCCAGAAGCTTCTAAAAAGTTGTAACGATTGCTGAAATAGAACTGCTTGTTATGCGTCACGTAGAGTTCATAGTTATCTGTTTCGCACTTAACAATTCACTAGCTTCTCAAATAATAACAACTGCTAAATAATGAAATAATGAATAACTTTATTGAACTAAATAAACGATACTCAGAAAAAAGTTTTCAGATATATCAAGGAAAGATTAAAAAAAATTGTAAAGAGGATAGAGCAGCAAATTAAGAATAGCGATAAATCACAGATGAGGTTCATTAAAAAAGGAATGTATCAAACTTAAAACTTAATTTTGGAATAAAAGCATGTATAAAACTTAAAAGGGGACCAATATTACTAAAATGTATACTAAACATGACCGATATAAAAGCTAATTACAAATGAAAACATGATAATATAAGTTGCAGGAGGTGTGGATTACATGAAGAAAACACAGAATATTCATGGCAATGCGAAAAATTCAAAAGACACGCAAACACACACGCAGACACGCAAAAGAAGGCTGTTGGTCCCTGACCTTCCCCTAGTGTAGAAATTTGATATAAAGGAATACATACACTCTTCTTTTCTAAGAACAATTTTATAAGTACACGAGCCTCAAAATTTGTCAGAAGTTAAGAACAAATTAAGAACAAGCTGAGGCTGAGCTACTGTAAAATGAAATTTTGAAATTTTAGCCATGTGCATGGGTGCTTTTTCCGTGAATATTCAAACATTGCGGCAAAGGAAGGTTGTCTCATGCACTTTGTTGGCAAAGGAGGCCTGACCACCTCCCCAGAACGAAAAGCTAGCAATCGCACTGCTTATGCCCTAAAAATTTAAAAACAAATTAAGAACAACCAAGCCTCAGATGTTTCGAAAAAATTAAGAACAATCAGCCTGAACTCAAATTTACTGGTTCTTATAAAAAAAGAGTGTACTGGCCATTCAAATATTTTTTAAAGAAAGAAAGCCTTGAAGGGAATGAAAAAGTGGGTATTTCTGTAGATTAAAATTAGAGTTCTGCATCGCAAGATGCCTATAAATATTTAGTTCAGAAACTTGACACATTATATACCAAAATTTCTTCCAGTCATACTTCAACTGTAGATCTTCCTCATGGCTGAATCACATCAACTTCAACTTATTGTAAGTGTCGCTTTTTCGTTCGCAATTTTATGTTGTCCTTTGAAAACAAGCTTTTCCATCTATTAGTTGAGTAGCTGTCACAATGTTTTTGGCAATTTTTTCATTGTACACTGCACAAAGGAGGATTTTTATTTGAACATCAGACGTAAATAGTATCAATCATTTTTTAACTGAGAACCTGTTGTTCAAGACAAAAATCTTTGTAATTTTTGCCGTGCATGGAAAATTTTTCATTTGAGAGATAAATATCACAGAAAAATAATTGATAAAAATCTGCGCGACGCTCTCGGCTTACTTCGACACATCCATCTCTCCATCGTATTCCACGTCTAAGAAAGCCGATTCTTTGGATGGCTTTTGAAAATTAACTTATACCAAACGGCAACCCCCAAAAGCAGAGATACCAAATTACTGTAAACTTCAAAACTTGGATGCATAAATATTTCATTGAAAGACGAAATCATGCTGCTTAGAGCTGCAAAAAGCCAGTCCGATACAACGGTGGCAATCGGGTAATGTTTGTGCATGGTATGCAGGCTATTTGCTTTAGTAGCCTTCAACGATACTAGAAGGTATTCTTCCTTGGCAAAACGGCATCTTTGATAAATGAGTATGTTTTAGCGTTGGCAGGAGAAACAAATCGAGATAACAAGTTGGGCGAAAACCCCTAGGCCACTGAAGGGTTCAATAACCGTATAGAATAATCTATATCCTGTATCTATCAACCCCTTTACTTGTTGGGGTTAAAACCTCTTAAAAGGGGGCTTTACCTACGTGAGTTCGTTGTAGGCAGAAATGTTAAAAAATACGGCAACGGCGGACAAAATCAAAATTCTTCTTTTTACGGCAATGATACGACCAACGGCTAACAACAAGTTTGACAAATAACGACACGGCGTCAATAGGCACGACAAAACTAGCGACAGAGCTCCTAGCAGTACGGCAAAACTTTCGACAAGACTACTCCTAACTTATGAAACAACCCTTTATATACCCTAAGCAAACCTTAGAATAACAATTACGTAATACAGAAAACATATTTACAGACGCTGGTGCAATCACAGCGCAATGATGCAATTGTCGCCTGATACTGTCCGTAAGGGAACCCTGCGTCGTTACAGCAGCGTATTTTGAGATTGAATATTCAAACCAATTGGAATCTTCGTACCACTTTTTTGAAATTTAAACTGTCTCCCTGCTTTATCGGACCGGCTTCAAAGACAAAAGCTCTGTTCGCTTCATTTACGATTTCACAGGATGGATCTCTTCTTTCAAGCATGGTAAACTCGAAGATATCAGGATTCTTTGATCGACTAGTTTTTGGTCATTTGATGGCAAAATAGCAGGAGTTGTGGTGCGAGTGGACACAAAACGTCATGAATTATAGAACGTTTACAGGATAGACAGAGGGTAATAAAGCAAACCGACGCTTTTAAAAAATTGCCATCAGAATACCAGCCGGTATTACTTCTAGACATAGTTTCTGATTGAGATCCATTACAAGTTATGGCAGAAGCATCGGTTTGTATTTCAAAGGAATCAGCAATCAGCAATTCAGTTACAAAATCGATGATCTACCGACGCATCATTCTGTTTCAGTATGAGGGTATTCGACAAAAGATAGCTTACAAGAAATATCGGTGTTCTCGAATTTAGACGAATTACAAAGTTGATCCTGGTAAGAACTGGGGGGACGTGCCCCCCCCAATCCCCCCCGTGGTGGCGCTTTTGGGTCCTGGTTTCGTTACGAGGCAAGTTTGTGATCGAGGCTCCACCTTCATGTGCCATTATATTTCAAACATGGCGCACGCTTCTGTAAGAAATCTTGGGAGAATTGTATGCTCTGCAAGTCAGGCGAAAATGACTGTGAGAATCTTTAAGCTACGTTTAACAATTCATTTTTTTGCAATGATCTTCATATGGTATTTTTGTAATTTGGACATGCGGCCTAAATGTAAAGACCTCGCAATTAAGCCCCCCAAGTTAAAGAAGTCGTAGTTTTGAATTGATTGCTAAATGTGTGATTCTCTATTTTACTTTTTGCCCCCATTTTTTGGGTACGATTATGGATTTTCAATTCGTTTCTATGCCGTTGAATTGATATTTTCTTTATCTCAAACATTCAACCAAACATTTTAAAATTATTATATAATATAACCAGCTTATTTTTCAACTCTTTTCAGGGTCTGCTTAGGCAAGCAGTGAGGCGAAACAATTTGTCTGGTTTAAAAAGTAAGGATTGAATTTAATTATGTATTTCTTCATTTTTTCATCCACAGCAGAACCCCAGAAGGTCACTTTAGTTTTTCTTGTATACAGAGGAGTCTATTCGATAATATCATCATTTCCCGGAAAACAATAGGCGTAACAGCTGTGAATTATGGGTGAAAATTTTTCTTGTGAACAGGTTTGTTTGGGTACCTGGTCAGCAGTGGATTTTTTTATTCTTGTGGGTTCAACTAAAACATCATAATATCTCAGGAATAAAAGAACAATTGTTGAAAGATGTTGTGTTTAAAATTGTTATTTTAAGAAGCAGTTTAAATTGCCATGACTAGTGGTCTCTTATGTGCTCAGCAAATAAATTTCGTCTTTTGATATTTTTGGGTCTTATCAACACATTTAGCTTATAATTTTGGGTTAGCTAAAAACTGCAGATGGACCTCCCTGTTTATAAATTTGAGTGACTCTCTTGGGAGCAGAACACAAAGCTATATCTTCCTTTTGGGACAATTGTCACTATATGTAAGTGTAGGGTTGATTAGATAATTGGCAGGAAATCAGATAACACTCCTATAAACTCACTCAAAAAGAAAGTCCCTTTGATAAAAATATTTAGCTAAGTTACATTTTTCTGTCTCTTTTGAATGACCCTTGATATCAGCAGTTTTTTACCAATGTCCTGCTAAATAAGACCATTAGGAATTGTATTGCATCAATCTCAATGGCATCCCCTCCCCCATTCCTGAAGACATTTGTAACATACTAATAGTTTCATTAGATAATGTCAAATTTTGTTTTGGTAACCAAGGAGTTGCTATGGGTAGCCCCTTTGGTCCAGCCTTCGCTTATATATCTGTTGGCTTTCACAAAAACTATTTTTAACCAGATCAAGAAACTGGTCTATTTTAAAGATGTTGACAACACTTTAGTTGTTTTTAACTCAGAGTAGAAATGTGTTTGTTATCATGAAAAACTCAATTTGTTGCATTCAGCTCTGTATTGAAAGGAGCAGAAGAACCCCTATGAGTTATGTTGACATCTTCATACAGAAGGAAGATGCTTGGTTTCTTTCCAGTGTCTTCATAGGAAATCAATGTTTTCTATGCAATATATTTGTTTCTTGGTCCAAAATTGGTTTCATAAAACCCTTAGCACACAGTGGTCCTATAACTTCTTCCAATTCTAAATTTGGTCCTGAACTTGGCAAAACTAAGGAAATTTTCCAGATAATGGCTACCAATAAGATATTGCTTCACACAAAAATTACTTGTTTCATGTCTGGTACTGAGAGGTGTCCTATACAGTAGAATCCCGTTATAATGTACTCGGTTATTACGTACTTTCGGATATAACGTACTGGTGTGCTTGGTCCCGGCAAAAGGTGTGCTTGGTTTCAATCAATTAATACTTACCCTTGTTACAACATACTTCGGATGTAACGTACTTAATACGCTGGTCCCTTAAAGTACGTTATAACCCGATTATACTATATATTTAACAAATGTAAAAGCAACCTATTGTTTTTCCACTGTAAACAAAGCCTTTGCTCTTGTAGTTTCTAGTAGTAAGGTCATGCTACCATAACTCTAAGGCTTGAGTTCCTACCAGTCAAAAAAGGTAAGGCATTTTTTATTTTTTGTGCCAATATGAGGCTCAATATGTAGAAGGAACTAGCCAGCAACAAATCAATAGAATAAAACAGCATGCTGTCTTCAGCAACAGGCAAAAACTGTTCCGAAAAGAGATAGAGCAAGCTTATTCGCCAAAATCATTGAGCAGACATTTCAGGGCTTTATGCTTTTCTCCACCAATCCGTTTCTACAGGTCTTTCTATTTGTGTGCTCACTCTGCATCATTCAAGTATATGCTCCGTCGTTTGTTCTTGGTCACATCCTTTACACTTCCTATATTTCCAAAGGAGTCTTATTTTTAGTATTTCTGCTGCTTCTGAAATGTGTTCTCCAGCCTCCCACTGTTTTCGGTCTATCTCAGCTCCTCATTCTTACCTCGTTTTGAAAATAGCACGAAAAAGCGAAAGCCAGTCATATACTAAAATACTCTTGTCAGACACTCGTCAGAGTATAAACATCGGATAATGTTCAAAGTTAAGCAGAAAATTAATATCCTGATGTGGATCGAAAGTAACATGAGCGGAAGAAAAGTGTGTTTGATTAGTTCTTCGTATTTGACCGATCGCTCCCGCTAATGCCTAGCGCACACCCACATTTTGTTGCCAGCGACGGCGCCGTCGGTTGAATTTCTTTGCCTGCACACTTGTATTTTTTTGGCGTTAGTCCATCTCTTGGTCTCGATTTCATTACAAGCATTGATTGAGCAAAAATGAAAATTCACTGTAATATTTTTTCACATGGGAATGACATTCTCAGGCAAAGGTGAAGGAGACAAATAAGCTGGGAGTGCTGCAGACCCTCTAATCAGGCAAGATTTGTTACATTTGAGGCCCAACCTCGGGAGTTTTTTCTCAATAAAGTAGCAATATTCGGACAAGATCCATACTAAGCCCTACTTAGCCCCTCCCCCCCCCCTAAATTTTTAGCATCTGCGACGCTTGTGTTCTCCGGTATTAACGACATAGGAAATTTTAAAGAGAAATGGATGAAAGTATTGGTAGACTTAATTAAAATTGGAAGAAGAAAACGGAGAAAAGGAAATAGGACCATGTGGGTTTAGTTTTGGATTGGTCGAAGAAAATTACTGCAATCTCTCTCTTGGCAAATTTAGCAAGAATATACCCTGCGGAAAAGCGCCAGTGACGGCGAAAAAATTTGCTAGGGTGCGCTAGGCTTAAGGTGAGAGGTTCGTGCTATTTTCAAAATTTACGGTACCAATGACTTATTTGGCTACTTTCGAATCATTGCCAGCTAAATGTTTACCTTTGCCAAATGTTTCCAGCTTTCTCTCTTTATTTCTTTAATACTTTTTATCACTATTCTCAGTTCTGAATATGTTTTCCTACACTTTTGGTAGGTGCCATACTATTTCTTTTCTCTTTCCAGCTCTTTCCTACCAAAGTATGCCATGTATCCGCTTTTCTATGCTATATAAGCATAATTGCTTATTTTGTTTCAAGCTATTCAAAGGGACAGCTGCGTGACTTTTCTAGCTATTCGTTCTATTTCAAATCATTCTGATCTGTTCTCTGAATGTTTTCATGCAAGTAGTTTACTGTAAGTTTCTTTATTTTTATATAAAAATATAGTATTTATCTTAGAAAATTTTATGCCATTTCTTAAAACTGCCATTTGGTGAATTTAAGACAGAATTTAAACTGTTTCAAGTACAATTTCTGCCTTTCAACTTAATAATACTTTAAAAGCTATATGGTACTTTATAGGTGTCTTTGCTGAAATTTCAACATCAAATAAACATTGCAAATCTTCGCTGCAGAATATGTATGTATTTCTTTGCATTTTATTTTATATTGCAATTTAAAGGAGAACTGACACGCAAAAAGAACTTTGGCTTATTCTATGCAGAATTTGTCGCTGACTTCCAATATAGTAAAATTTTTCTTCTTAGATTCGCCGTTTTTCTGATACTTGCACTTTTATCCGTCAACCACAGGCAGGTATCGGGAATTTCCCAAAGCGGAAGCAAGATTATCGCCAGGAGTTGTTAAAGTGCCACTGAAATGAAAAAATGAAATTTTTTTTATTGTCAATTCTCATACACTATTCATCACTGATTCGAAAACAAGTTTAGTTTTTTCATTCAGGGCCCATAAATAAGGATTTATGGTGATTTTTTGCCGTTGGGTCGTGCGAAAAGGGGCTAGGGCGAGTGACGCATTAAGATATACATAGTCAATTTAGCCATACTGAGGGCTGTAAGAAGATAAAAAGTTATCAATTTTGTAAAACGTTATACCAGCATGGAACTTTGTTTAGATAGGCAGCTTGATACGCTGAAAAAGATAGGTTGTGAATAGACGCTCGAAAATATCACCTTGTGCTATCTTTAGACTGGGGTAATAGGTTCCAGGCCAAGGAACTTATTTTCATAATTTTGATTTTTGCGGGGTTCTTTGACAATGATGCTACTACGATAGTCAAGGACGCCGAGAAGACACGGCCAGAACGGAAAGGCGAAAAGATATTTTCAACCACGAATTTGAGATTAGCTTGAATCGATTTTTTTTCTTGCAAACACTTAAAAGGTTTTACTTTATAAGGCAAAATTTTGTTACTTTTAGTCAATTCCATTTAAAAATGGATTTCATTACTTTTTGAGGCCCCCTGACCACTAACCCCATGGGCAATTTAACCCCTCTTGACGGCCCTGGCGATCACTGATGCTTTGATAGTATGCAACGCAAGTTGGAAAGTGGGGAAAGCGCCGAAAAATGTGCAATCTGTGTGATTCTATGATAGATAAACTTTTCCCTTGATCAATTTGCTCCTTAGAATCAAGTTGTGCGCTACTGACTTTTACTCATAATTTGTATAGCTGTTCGCAAAAGCTCAATAATTCATAAAAGGTAAAATGATCGGCACGAAGTCTTGGTACAAACTGCACTCAAAAATTTTGCTTATTTCGTTTGGGTTCGTAATTTTTGCAAGAAAATACCTTGCATATGGTTTGTAGTTAGATAGATAGCGATATCTAGAGCACAAGTACCGCACTATTTCCGTCCACTACGCGATTTTTTTCGTTGTTTTATCGCACTCGAAATACAGTGTTCAGTGCAGAAGCTCGCACCACTTCCACGACTTGTAAACGTTAATGCGTCACACATTCCTGAATTTCTCACAGACCTCGCACAGATTTTCGCACGAAAAGTTTTAAAAATCGCAACTTTGAAGCGTTGTAGTTCAAAACAGTTAACAATTCCGAAAAAAGAACTTCACCATCAGATTCAGGAGCACTCTTGACAGAGAAAAACATCAATAAAAAAGATTTCGATTTTCTCATTTCAGTGGCACTTTAAAATTCTCGGCTGACGTCACAAGTGACATGTTAACAATGCCGTTGTAAAGGCTTTCGCCGCAATGGTGAAAGTACAAGTGAATTTTCGTGTTTTATTGAAAATATACTGCGATAAAAAGACAAAAAATTGTCAAGCATTCCATTTATAAGTTTAAAGAAGCTAGAAAATCCTAGCTGCAGGTCTGCTAGGACGCTAATATCCACATAAAATTTATTTTTATGTCATAATATCTTCGAACCAGTACACTCATTTTTTTTATAAGAAACGAAGGTCGATGTTGAGTACTCCAGTTTCTCAATGTCCTGGAATATTCAATACTCATTGTTTCTTACGAGTTTCTTAATTATGATGTCATGAATGATTTTATGAAATGTTCGTGATCTTTTTTATCATTTCGCGAGATTCGCTTCCGTTCCGAAACTGTATTTACATGTGGGAAGTATATTTTTATCTCTTGTGTTATAAGTTCTAGGCCAACTAAGCAATCATGTTCTTGGATTTTACAAAATTTCGTTGTTCTCAGTTTTGTCACGATTTAATAGTTTCTCAATTTTTTTGCTTCGAGTACTGAAATTTCTTATTTTTTTCTGACTGTCCAGTACTCGTTTCTTATAGCCAGTTTCTTATAAAAAACTGAGTGTATGCTTTGAAACATTGGAAGAATCTCTAAGATTTTGAAAAACGGGGTCGACAACTGGTGCCGTTTCTCCAAAGTCTTTATTTCTATAACTACAAATTAAATCGCAAAAGCAGGCGGTGGGGGGGGGAGGGGGGGTTGAAGCAATAGCCAAAAGACAAACGAAATCCAGTGAAGACGGGGGTAAAAGCGATCCTGCAACCTGCTCTGGGTGCAGAAATAAGAATTCAAGAAAAAACGTTGGTTGATGGGAGCTGCGAGTGTGACTGAACTTGATTAACATTTTTGAACAGCGGTTGAGACATTAGGGAATAACCTAGTCTTGCACAAAGACCATCCCCCGTCCAAGTCAAAAAATTTTGCAAAAGAAGATAATGCGCCAATTAATATTCCTATGACATCGAAACAGTAACTAAATTTCTTTGACTAAGGCTTACTTTATAAGGCCGCATTTAGGTCGCGTCGAGTTCAAATCAGACAAAAATTTGAATAAAATTCGACGTAAAAGCGACCATTTAAAGTGAAACTTCAATTATGTGCTGCATTTCGAATTAAGTCCGTCAGGATTTGCCGAACTCAACTCACAAATGCGACGTAAATGCGGCATTGCTTTATACGGTCGAGTTTTTGTTGAACCGAAAACGCTGGGTCACATGACTATGCATAGAGCGGCAAAGTGCGCATGTGCATATCACATTTGGCAAACGCTCGTTGCCTTGTTATGTTGCGTTGGTGCAACATCAGGACATGTTGATTGTTGCCTTATAGATTTATGGCGCCAAAATTTTCTTTTCTTGTGACTATTTCTCTGCTGAAAATACAAAACCGACGCTACTTCCAAGTCTTGATTAAAACGAGCTATATTTTTATTTGTGCCTCTTCAAATTTGGCGCAATTTTACGCAACTTTGGCAAGAATTGAATTTAACGCGGCATTTAAAACACTTTTAAAGTGACAGCTGCATTAATGCCGCTTTTATCCCGCACTCATTGAGTTGAATTCGACGCGACCTGAATGCAGCCGTATAAAGTCCCCCAAGAAGTCAAATTCTTTGGCTAAGAGCTAAGAGCACATTACGTAACTTCAGCCAAGCCAAGAACATTGACACATTGAAACAATCATAGAATGTTACATTGATAACGAATAACTTGCAATTCCGTTTAGGACATCATAGGCATTTCATCTAATTAGGCTGATTAGGCCAGACAGAGCAGTCTGGGCAAAGACACTTCAATTTGAAATGAAATTCTAGCCTGTTCTTTGTTCATAATTTCGTCACTATTGAACCATGGGACGACAGTCTGCCCTAGCAACAGCGCTGGTTGGTGGCACAAACTCAGACGGCCGAAATTTTCCATTTGTTTTGAAATCAGTCTGATAAAACTCCGATTCAGAGTCCCAAACCATTGAAAAAGTCAATTATGTGTCAAAAATGCAAAATTAGCTCCTTTCGCGTGCACAAAATTTAATAAACATTTGCCGCAGCATTTTCTTAAAGGTTTCTATAGAGAAACGCCCACTCGTGACGATTTTCGCCTCGAGTCTCAAGTTGTCGGAACAATTGTCGTTTCTCAACTTAAAACGCCCGTTATTCAAAAACGGTAACACACATGGTTATATCATTTGCCCATATAGTGGGCGTGTCCCACAAGCAAGAAGGGCGTGGTCCCGATCCCAAAAGATTTTAGCTATAGTCACCAAAAATCCTGGATCCGCCCCTGCAAAATAAACATTTGTCCGCAGCATTTTCTTAAAGGTTTCTATAGAGAAACAAAATACGTGCTGAGAACATGTCACTTATGACGTCAAAGATGATCGCCCACTCGTGACGATTTTCGCCTCGAGTCTCAAGTTGTTGGAACAATTGTCGTTTCTCAACTTAAAACGCCCGTTATTCAAAAACGGTAATGGTGATTTAAAAAAAATTTCGATCCTGGAATCTGCTTGTCAAAAACTACCGTTTTAGACAAACATGTTTTTGCTTGTCAGATCTCCTTTAATGGCACCTCGCTCGTCTTGGTTATGCTTTTTTTGCTTCAATGTTTTGTGATCCTTCATTTCAGCTCGTACCACTTTTGAACTGCAGCTATCGGTTTTTCAAAGTGTTTTGATAAAATCTATTAAAAAAAGCCTTACTTGTTTGCTATTCCGCTTATTATGAATCTGAATTGCGACATCTTTGCATTTTTAGTCAAGTGAGGATCTACGATTGAGCGAATATCACTTTTTCATTAAATTGTTATTTATAACAGTAATTAATAAATCATCTAAAATAATCTATGAAAGTTTCATCAAAATATTCTACACTCGGTCATGCTGATTCAAATTGTAAAATTTTGCAGATCTCTTCACTTAAATTCAATTATTGCTTTGGATCGGTGTCAGTTGGTTTTTAGTCTAATTTACAAGAAATGCAGGATGCATCGGCAAATTAAAAAACTGCTTATTTTTAGTGGGCCACCAAAGGCTGAGTTGCTTTATTATTGGAACCATGTGGAGTTTAATCTAAACGGGCCTCTTGCGTTTTTCTAGTCAGGAACTAATAAAGCCCCGGCCAAACAACTCGATTTTTCGTTCGAATTTTTACTCAACAAGAAATCGAGTGAAAAATCGAGTCGTCTGGCCACCTTGTCGAGCAAGTCGAATGGCGTCGAGTGATGTTGAGTGAAGTCGAGTGAAGTTTGATCTCTATCAAAAAGTCGAGTGAAAAAGGTGTTGTCGAAAGAAAATCGAATCGTTTGGCCACCTTGTCGAGTGAGTCTATTGAGCGCGTGCGCAGTTATCATCTCTTATGCTGGGCAGGGAAGCATACTACCCTGAGGCCTCGAAGTCCGGGGGACCTTTTTAAATGATGAATTCCATTTTAAGAATGGAATTAATTAAAAGAAACAAAACTATGCCTGAAAATAGTAATTTGCTTAATCAAAATAAGTACTTAATGGCGGTTCCTGCATTAAACGAACGAACATGGTCTTATTTCGCTTGCGTTTGTCAAGAGATTGTAAAAGGATATTTGCACGTAAGATAAACACGGCAGCCGATTTGCGCTTCTTTGCCATCATTTTGTTGGCATGAGTGAAAAGTCGAGTGAAAAATTGAGCGAAAGATCGAATCGTTTGGCCACTTATGCTCGACTTCGCTCGATTTTGAGATCAAATGTCGAGAGAAAGATCGAGCGAAAAGTCGAATCGTTTGGCCAAGGCTTAAGTATGTTCAAATCTAAACATCATAGGTTGCCTTGTTGCATAAGAAAAAGCCTTTGTTCGAAAACACAACAGCAACATTTCACAAAGAGTTTTTTCAATTAGCAGAAGATAAATATGCAATACTTTGAAACAGCTACTTTCCTTCTACCAACTGGGTTCCTTTTTAGAAATATGGCTTAAATTTAGGCTTCAACCTTAAAAAAACATGTTTTCGTTTCTCGAGCGATTTCAGTGGTAGGCAAGATTAAAGTGATAATCTTGCCTAAAATCACAAGATTTCCTCCAGCGAATGAAAATTGACCGAGGGATAGTTCACTCTTGCAAAAAGTGTACGAGATTTCCACAAAAAAAAGGATTTCCAGGGATTTTCTCATAAAACAATAGGATTTCCACCAAAGGTGTACGAGATCTTTATGAAGTGATTTGCCCCTCGAAATTGACAAGCAACATTCATCATTATCATTTATAACCTTAAGGACTTTTTTGGTAAAGAAAATTTGCAAAGATTTCCAAATATTTTTCAGTAAAATATTGCTATTTCATAGGAAAAAATGGCAAAGATTCTCCAGAAAAAGAATTTTTTTAATTTGAAGATGGCATGAGATAGCGGTAAAAATTGCATACCGAAGCACTTTTCGTCTGACACATTTCAGACTATAAACGTCTGACAAAGAACGAAAGTAAGCTGATAATTTGCATCCAGGTATGGATCGAAAACATTGTGAAAGGAAGAAGGACACGTTTGATTTGTAATACTTAAGGACTCAAGAATCTGTTCGATGCAGGTGCCTTTACATGTATGTTCAAGCTTAGATGTCGACATTTGAAAGTATTTGAAGAATTATTCCTGGTCATGTAGACGTAAATCTCTTTCTAAGAGATGAATTTTCCATTTCTGTCGACGTTCTGAATAAAATTTCTAAACTAGTATCGTTTTTGCTTTTTTCCTCATTTTTTGAATGAAATCAACTTTAAGATTTTAAGCTTTCTGATAACAGTACTCGTGTAAATCAGGCTTTGTACTCTGAAGAGTGTCAGACGAAAAGTGCTACAGTATGTAATGTTTCCGCTATTTCATGCCATTTTTAATTTTTTTGAAGATACTTAACGGTTTTGGGGGAAGACTTTGTACATTTATAGACCCAAAATTTACCTGAACTTTATTCATTAGCTAAAGGCTTTTAGAAATTCAAATCAATAAAACTATGGCAGAGAAAGACCAACCTTGAAAAATAATATTTTAAGGGCACTGTTGATCACTGAGAGAACTCTGAACTCTGAGCATAAAGATAACAAAGGATGCTAGTTTTTGATTGAAAACACTGCTGATGGGTTTCTTGTTTGGGAAACGGCTTAGCGATTTCACTGTGCAGTTTGTAGCTGTCAAATTCCTTATCGCATTTGGAATTTACCGTATCGCATTTTTTAGCCAAATTACCGTATCTCTTTTTGGGTTTATCCAATGTGAGCGAACACTAAAAGCGATGCTACATTGCTAGCCATATTATAATTTTTAATTTAAACTCTAGGGAACACGCTTGAAACTGAACCTAAAGGGGGTTTGTTAAATTCAAAGCAACTTCTGGATTAGTGTCATTTCACCTGGAGGCAGCCATATGAAGAATAGATATAAAAAGATCAGTTTTTAGCCATCGTTCTCCACTGTAAACATCACATACAAAAATGCTCTCTTGTGACTAGATTTTGCTCTAGAAGGACAGCTAAGTACACTCTCTTATAATAAGAACCAGATAGTTTTTGCCAAGGCTCGATGTTCTTATTTTTTTGATGATTTGATGCCCGGATGTTCTTAACTTTGCTTATTTTTCAACACTGATTTTTTCCAAATTTTTAATAAAACTACTAAATAATAGTTTTGGATGCTACTTTTAGTAGCAGTGTTGATTTGCTGATTTCATATGCCACATCTTTTTTTATATATTCTTATATATCTTTATAAAATATACACAAGTTTGCCAGACGATACCACAGGAAGCATGGGAATACATAGCAACCCTGTAGCAATGTACAATCAACATATAAAACAAAATTAACTACAATTAGAAGATGCAAAATGAGCGAAAAAGAATAAAAGAAACTATTCTTAAAAAGAGGAGAAGGCCATATCTCAGGAAGTTTGTAGTAGTTCTAACTAATTTTGCACATTTCGAGGTATTCCACCGTGTTCTTTCTGCTCATGTGATTATAATTGAAAAATTCTTGAATGCACAGGCTACTTGATACTGCATGGAGCCTCGGTTACGACACGAACCTTGGTTACGACACGAGCCTTGGTTACGACACGAGCCTTGGTTACGACCTGAGCCTTGGCTACGACACGAGCCTTGGTTACGACACAAGCCTTGGCTACGACACGAGCCTTGGTTTCAGTTTTGCTCAGTGATTCCGATATTTGTTTCAGTCTGTAATCATAGAAATTTTTTTATTGTTAAGCTGGAGAGAAGTCTCGTACACACCAAAAGTATGAGAATTGAAATTGCATTAACTTTACTAACCTAATATTTATTGTTAAATTATGATCCCACCTTTCTTGTGTCTGGTACCATACATCATCAATAGCCTGTTTTCATGTGTTTTGAAAGCGCATTGATATAACACATTTAACAGATTCTTTCAACTCATACTTTTCGTAATTGGACCAAGTTCTAATTTCATTTGTGCTCAACTGAAGAGGCTTTATGTAGGAGTCTGTTGTGGGCCATTTTGGAATAATTTATGCATTTTGGAATAATTTATGCATTTTGAGTATTTTTATGCATTTTTGAGTATTTTATACATTTTGAAATAATTTGTGCATTTTCAAATAATTTATGCTTTTTGGAATAATTTAGGATTGACATAAACCTATTTTGTTTTCTAGACTCAAGTCTGCTGGAGTCAAAAGCAAGCAGAGATTCAACATGAATGAAATGCAACGATGCCTTGCTGTTGTAGGTATGTTATTTCGTTTCTAATCAGAGTGATTTCGTTGCAACAAAACTTTGTTGTGAGCTGTGTGGACGGATAAAAAGTTTCAAAACGGGGCAGTTTGAGTGGTTGTGAAAAACAGGAGCAGTTTGAGCTATTGCTGGATATTTGAAAAAACGGATAAACAGATTTGTTCAGGTATACGCGGCTTCATCAGAGAAAAACCCCACTACACCCTGACGCCACTACACGAGAAACAACCATTCAAGTATCATAACGAATTTCTTAGCATTGAGAAAATTGTGTGCGTAACATTGGCACAGAAATTCGTGGACTAGTAACCTTTTTCATTAATATAATCTTCAGATGAGGATAAGCATGTTTTTAGTGTTCTTAAAGGATGACGTCACAGATATATATATATTTTTCTAATTTTTGAATTTTGATCTCCTAACGTAAACGAGCAATATGAAATGCCTCTGACTGTGAAAATCAGATAAAAGTGTTCCGAATTGGCTGAGATATGGTCACATGAGCACAGGCTGTTTCCTCATCAAACTCAAAACCACAGCAAACTTCAAATCTTTCCTTGTTATATCTCACCCAATTTGTGACATATTAAACTGATGTCGCATATTTAAAAGCATTTCACGGTGCTTTTTTAGGTTAAGTGGTCAAAAGTCAAAAGGTCTAAGAATAGATTTTTTTATGATGTCATATATAAGAACTCTATTAATGTAGTGTCATATAACGTTGCCAGGCCCAGCACCACCGGGGGGAAGCAAGGGGGCCATGGCCCCCATTTTTTGCTTGATAAAATGTTAAATTAGCTAAAATTTTCGTATACTTACTATATTTAATGAAAATCCACAAGTAAAGCAGCATCAAGAAAATTTTGCCACTATGGGGACTAGAGGGGGTAAGAGAATAATCTATTTACCTTGCTGCCTCCCACCGCTCAGTTTTCAATAGATCACCTGGCCCCCCGTTGCTGATTGGGAAGACGAATGTTGTTACCTAAGTTTTCTCTATAGTAATTTTTTGCGTAAGTAGTGGGACATTAATTACACATGGCATGAATCTTCTGTCTTTTTCTGTCCTTTGAGCAAAAATTCATGTTTGCGTTCTTTTAATCTAACCGAAAGCTGTTAGCTTGATTCTTAACCCACAAAGCCTTCCTACAGTTAGTTTCTCTAATTTTCTGAATATTTTGTGATTAAATCTAAATTGCTTTGCGGAGAAGCAAGTAATAAAAGAAAGTTCGTTAGAAAGTTTGTGTGATTTGTAGCATTAACCATCTATGTTCCTTCTAGTAATTAAAGTTACAAAGTTTGCGAAACTCCATACCGGCTAGGTGAAGCTTGATCTTAAGGATCGCAGTGTTCAGATACTGGTGGATGAAAGAAAACCACATCTTTCTATATATCTATATAATCCAATAAAAAGTTACAATACATATTACTGTCTACACTACTAACAAGAACTACTTTACAATGCTACTGGGACGAAAACCCCCGGGGAGCAAAAGGCTGTATCTACCCCAAGGGCGTTGACATATAAATACACATAAATGTTACAGAAAATAAATGTTACTAAATGTTAGGAAATAAAAATATGTTACAGATAAAAAAATTGGTTACGTGGTGTACATTTTAGATTGAAAGGACCTTATTCAAACCGACTAGTATTGCAGATGAATTGTAGAGTCAAGTTGCGAATGTTCCTATTGACACCTTAAGGGAAAGTTTCATTGCCATATAGTAAAAGCTGAGTTAGAGCCTTATTCGACAGATTTGTAGGTCCAAGAGGTCGTAATATGTCAAAACTCCAACAAGAAGATCTTGTCGTTGAGCAGCGAAAGAAGGGCAAAGCAACAAGAAATGTTCCGCACCCTCAATGCCATCATCCGAAAGGCACATTGGGTTTAAAGTATCCCTAAAATTGTGTTTGAATTTGTGAAAATTTAATTTGCTTAGATCAACTCTAAGTTGAGTCAGAAGGGATAAACCTATTGGGTCATGAATTCCGAAAACAGACTTTGCAGTGGGGCCGAAGACAGACTTGACAAAAAATGTTTCTTGAAAATAGCGACAGATGGTGCAAGTCTCAGCTCTGGTTCAATATTGTTCCATTCAGATAAATATTGAGGATAAAAACTAGATTTGAATTTTTCTGTTCTCGCCATTATTTGCCCTAGAATGTCCTGACTGCGAAGAAAGTAATGTGACTGATGAAGCTGAGGAATTGGATTCATCATAAAAACTGGGGATGAAATTATTTACAATCTTGTAAACAAAGTATAACGTTTGCTCCACCTATGAGAACTCAATGATTCCCAGCCGAGCTCCGCATACAATTTTTGTCGCGAAGTTCCCCTCCATGTACCATTTTAGCCTGGATATGGTATATAACATCCCCATAATCCAGGTGAGGTCGTACATAGAGCTTATAGAGTTCATTTAAAGTATGCCTAGGGAGATATTTGGAAATATCTTTCAGCAGGCCGATACCATTTCTTGTTTTAGAGATAGCTGATTTGATATAAGCAGCTAAAGAAAGCTTTGAATCTGGGATAATCCCAAGATGTTTATGTTCACTGACTTTCTTCACTAGAATATTATTAAATAGTATCTTTGGGTGATCAATTCCAATTCATTTCATTGAAACTCCTTGTTTTTGCGGGTCAGGATTGAATGATATTCTCCAGTCATATGCCCATTGTTTTATCAACTCCAGGTCATGATTTATGTCATTTGCAGCTGTAGCAGAGTTCTGAACTACTGTAAAGAGTGATGTATCGTCTGCAAAAAGCTTGACATTGCACTTCAAATTTGCAGTTAGATCGTTTGTATAAATAAGGAAAAACAAAGGACCCAGAATTGAGCCATGGGGTACACCTACCAAAATATCTCCCCAATTCGAGCTCTGTTCATTCAAAACAGTTCGCTGTTTCCGATCTTTAAGGAAGCTTTGAATAAGAGATAGAAGTTGTCCTGAAACACCATATCATTTTAGTTTGTAAATTAGACCCTTATGCCATACCCGATCAAATGCTTTGGACATATCAAAATACACGGAGCGAACGTCGAGAGGGGGATTACAGTCAAATGCTTTAAAGATTGTACGCATTTCGGTCTTATGTCTGCAAGTTTGTGAAACGCTTAGCATGAAGGCCTGAAAATGAATGCAGAAAATCCATAGGTGTTGATAACAGAAAATGAAGGGCAGTCACAAAAAACGATCAGAGATGTGTCTGGAAAGAATTTTCAACAAATAGGAAGCTTGAAGTACCTTGAATCAGAGATCAACGCCGATGTGAAGGGGGGGGGGGAGTTCCTGATGGGGGTGTTCCTGATGGGGGGGTTCAGGAAGTGTCAGGAGTAGCATATGATAAAAGGAGACCAAGAGAAATGAAATGTAGACTATGATCACAGATGAGACGTGCTGCAGTATGGAAAAATGAAAATATTGTGAAAAATTGGATGAGATGGCTGGAGTTGAGGATGTTTCAGTGGTTTATTTTTTGTGTGGGCACTTAGGAACAAAATAACAAAATAAAGAAAAGCTTGTGGCGTTATGCAGTGGCAGTCATGATGAAGAAAATTATGTTCCGATGTTTTTGGCCTGCTCAAAAGGGCCAAAATTTCCTGAACATAATTTTATGAATTGATATTTTATGTCTTAAACCTTTAGATGTTAAACTCAACTTTACCGAAAAAGTTTGAAATTACCAGCAGGTTCTTCCAAGAGTGAGGGAGGGGGGGGGGGCAAAGCATTTAATTATCAATTTCTCTATTTCTGTTGGCGGAATCGCAAACCAAATTTTATCTTGTTGTTGCAGCTATGATATCGAATGTATCAGTATCAAATGTGACGTCGGGGTCAGATTGTGATATGCTTGAAGGATCAGAAGAAGGTGATGAAGTTTGCTCTCAAGGGAAAAAGCATAGCCGCCGATCAATATGTACGTAGCTAGTATTAAAAGCACTAGACTTGTAGTATTTTTTCGTGTTTATACTTTTTTGTGAGTCGATAATATGATTTCTAGTGTAAATGTTGCTTTTTGCTTCATGAGTTGTTTTGACTTTACAAAAAATGGCGTATAATCTACTCAATATGTAGGCAGTTTGATTGGATTGGAAATGTTTTAGTTTATTCATGTAAAAAAACTGTGCAAGTTATGAGACTTCATTGCATGCTTTTCTAAGATTTCCCTCGTAATCCAGGGCGGCTTGATACAGTTAGTCAACTTGAGCAATCAATGACGCAAGCTTGATACAGTTACTCAATGCACGACCTTAAAATTGAGAAAGCAACTTGCTGAAAGCTTAGTGTTGACGAAGGTTGATTTACACGATCATGTTTACTCGCCACTGACAATCACCCAAATAAATAAACTGCAACGATTGCAGAATTGTGCAGCGAGTTTTGTGCTTGGTCGGTATGCTTCTTCAGCTGATATTCTCGAACTTAACTGGCTTCCAATAATTGAAAGAAGAGAGTTGAACTGCATGAAAATGACTTTCAATGCGATTCACAAGGGGAATTGGCCATCCATTAACTGCATTGAAATAAAAAAGACCAGTCGTACTCTTCGTAATACTAACGAACTGAGTCTGGGCACATCAATTATCAGGGATACCTTTCAAGATACTCCAAACAAATTCTCAACAAATTTAAAAAACTCTCAACAGAAATCAGAGAACAAAAATTGTTGACCTCATTCCCCACACAAAATTGAAAGCGGATTTAATGAGACGTGCTAAAGATCGACTTATTTTTAATCAATTTTGATTATATTTTTAATACTTCATTTCGCTTTTATCGCCTAACTTACATTGTAACTTATTCCTTTCACAGATTGCAACATTTAGGGAAATTGTATTTTTAGCTCGAGTTGAAGAGCAAAAATAATTGTGGGTATACTCAATAAACCTTATCTGTATGTGTGTATAATTTGCGCAATCAGTCAAGCCTGCTTGACACAGTTACTCGACTTGAGCAATCAATTATGCCTGCTTGATACAGTTACTCAGATAATAGATACTCTTTCGTACACACAGTATACTTGCCAGCTGTTTTTTCTTCATTTGTAAACAATGGCAGCTTGACAATCCCATCAGCATCTGTTTTTTGAAGTTATCAAGTTTCAGAGCGGGTCTTCCAAATGCATATGTGCAAGAAAAAGGTTCAGAGGGCAGCCTCGGTTACAAAAGTAAGGGAAAGAAGAAGTGGTTCTACACTTCTAACATCCGTGCTCCTTGCATCAATGTGTCGTTGTTTGAGAGAATCCTCAGCGTTTGCTTAATAAATGTGTTGCTAATGAATTATTGACCCTACGCCTGTTTACTTACCGAAAAACAAGCATAAGGCTCAAATCTTGATTGGTTGAGAGTTTGCGCTAAATCACGTGGCCTCTCTTGCCACTGAGCCAATCACAGCCCCGGAAAGTGTAAAAAAAGGTAGGCAGAGCCGAAAATTGGGCATTTTTACCACCCTCCGCTGGTTTTCGACTTCTTCTTCCGTTTCGGACTTTTGTCTCTCACTTGTCGGCAAGCATGCACGAGAGAGTGTATCTGCTAGAACAATTTCTTTGCCAGGTTTAAAGCAGATTTTAACATCGTATGATTGCAATCTTAGTAGGAACCTTTGCAGTCTCTTTGGAGCAGAGGCAAGTGGTTTGCTGACAATTGAGACAAGTGGTTTGTGATCCGTCCTAAGTGTAATCTCTCTGCCATAGGCATAGGTATGATGATGTTCAACTCCAAATACTTGTGCAAGCAGCTCCTTCTCTATTTGGCTGTAGTTTTGCTCTGCAGGGGTGAGGGCTCTGTATGCATATGACACGTGATTTTGCATGAGCACGAAACCAAGCCCCTTTAATGATGCATCAGCCTGGCCTTCTCTTGCTGCCCTATGGTCAAAATACTTTAGAACTGGTGCCTCGCAAATTGGTTTTTGTATGACATCAAAAGACTTGTCATGATCTTTTCCCCATACCCATGATGCATCTTTGTGGGTCAAATTTCTCAGAGGTTCGCATACTTCAGATAGTCTGGGGAGAAACTCAGTCAGGTATTTTACTATGCCAATGAACCTTTGTACACCAGCGACGTCTTTCAGCTTGCTCATCTTTGTGATGGCTTCAACTTTTGCGGGGCCTATCTTGAGACCATTATGTGTTAGGGTATGACCAATGAAGGAAACTTCGTCGCACTTGAACTTGAATTTGTCTTTGTTCAGCTTGATGCTTTTCGTCGGCATCGTTTCAAAAGCGCCAGCATGTTCATGTCATGATTTTTGACAGCTTCTTCGTATGTTTATCCTCTTCCGGTAACGAGAGCGTCGTCAGCGACTACATACACCCCAGACAGGCCTTCAAAGCACTGATCAAATTTGTGTTGGAAATGTTCTGAAGCTGGTTTAATTCCAAATGGCATCCTGAGGTACCTCCAACGCCCCCGTGGTGTCTGGAGCGTGGTAAGCCTGCTTGAGTCTTCGTCGAGTTCTATTTGAAGGTACCCTTCCTTCAGGTCGATTTTGCTGAAATCCTTCTACACCTTCTAGCTCTGGTAGCACATCCAATTAAGCCTTGAGTTTTGCTTTAAGAGCGATAGGTACTCTGCGAGGAGGCATGGCAGCAGGGGTTTTGACTCGTCACCATAAAGTGTACATAGTCTCCTTTTACAATAACAAATCTGATAGTGTAATCAGTCTGGTTCTTTGCGTTTGCTACCTTAAGTTTACAAATACCATTTATCAGTAATAAAGCTTGACTGTCCAGGCGCAAAGAGTGATCAGATTTTTAAATTTTTGTGCCTTGAGGAACGAAGTGTTCTGGAAGAACATTACAGGTGGCACCTGAGTCAAGTTGAAAACAATCTTGCCTGCCTTTATAATCATGGAGGCAAAAGTTTTGTTCTTAGGAGGGGACTGGGACACAGCATTGATTTGCAAATTATTTTTGGCTGAAATTTCAACAATGAGAATTTCATCATCACTAGAAGTGTTTTTTCCTTCTTTGCATGAATCTTGGCTTTAGAAAATGTATCTCTGAAACCTGGTGATTTCTTCAAGCTGCACTTCTTACCACAAGCAGAACAAAGTTTGCCGAAGGCTGGGCAACACTCTTTGTTTCTTTTATGTCTACGTCCACAAAATTTCAACCGGAAACAAGACCTCTTGTGTCTCCAATGGTCTTTCTTGGGCTGCTTTGCTTTCCAACATAATTTGCCATGAGTTCCTGATTATCATCTTGGCCAGCCATTACTCTTGCTTGAGCAGTATTTGTTTCTGTGGCCCTGCATAAGTCAATGCATCTAGATAATGATAGTTTTGGTTCCTGCAGTAGCTTACGTCGCACGGCATTGTTATGAATTCCACAAACAAATCGGTGACGTATCAACTCATCATTAAGTGGCCCAAATGCATATATGGCTGCGAGGGCACGAAAAGAAGCGGGATAAGTTTCAATTGACTCTGTAGGTTCCTGAGTACGAGTATTGAATTTATAGCGTTCGTAAATTGCATTTGTTTCTCCAATACAGTACGTATTCCATACTGCAAAAATTTTCTCAGTATTTTGACGTTCACCCTCCTCCTGCTACGGAAGTGAATTGTATATTCGAAGAGTTTCCGGTCCGATGCAAGTGATGAAAGCAGCCACTCGAAAATTGTCAGGTTTAGACGTCAAATTCGTAACAGTTTCGTACGCACCATAAATTTGCTTCCATTGCTTCCAATTCTCTGCTAAATTCCCTTCTAAGCTAATTCGTGGGGATAATGGCACGTTAGATATGAACACCGATGTTCCGCTATTTCCTTCAGAGGCACTAGGCCCAGACACGTTTGGATCCGGATCTGTCATCGCGAAACAAGAACCAGCAAAGCAATCATTTACCTCCTAAAACATCAAAGATGAATGTTTCACCTGACACCATGTAAAAGTATCCGGTGAAGAACAACGAAGAACGCCCCAACTCGGACTTCAATGCATAACATAACGAAACGGGCGCATGCCCAACATAACGTAAATACGAGGCTAATAACGTCACAACAAGAAGACGGCATTGGACGAGTTGAGCGTCTTCCCAAAGCTGATCACCTGAGGGCATAACCGAGAAAAGATAGCTGCTCCAAAATGGTTTAGTGCGCTTTTATACGACCTCACCAATAACCTAACAAAGGTAAACGAAGAGCGATAAGACCTCTCTCAAGTCCCGAGACCTTGAAAGCGTTTCACCAATTAGAGCAGACCTTGAATCTGTTCACCAATAACATCAGCCCTTGAACAGCATGTAAGAAGAGCTATGCTCCAAGAAAGGCATGTGTGGGCCAGACTCTTCTCTAAATGCAGGTTCTACCTTGTCAATAAAGTGTGGATGCAAGTGTGGTTTGACATGCACTGGACTCTGTTTCTGTAGCGGGAATTGCCAATGCTAGTAAAAACTACAGCCACTGTCAAAATATGAGTTTTTGATTAGATGTTGTTTTGTTTGAATTAAATTTGGCATCCTTTCTGCTTATGAATTTGTCTATTCTGCTTATGAAAATATGCACCTTGCAGAGATGCATATCTCAGAATAGGCATAGCATATCATTTCTTTTTACACTGTTTTAATGTTCTGTAGACAATCATAACCTGTTTGAAATGTACTTTTCTTGGCCAAGCTTTGACCAACTGAAACGTAACCCTGGTTTAATACTTCATGAACATTTCGCTCTCAATTTCTTGTCAATAACGATGTAATTCAAAATGCAAGAACTAAAACAATTCAAAATTTATTGAAACTTTTGGGGTAAGAGGCAAAGAACTTTTTTTATATTAATTTGCCTCTCACATCGCATCTTTAATTTACACTCAAAGCTACAAATATATTTATCAGACGCAGGGAAATGGTAACAGTGTCTTCAGGGCAGTTAGATTACGGGTTTAGTGAATTGTTTTGAAAGCATCAACTTCTCGTCTCATCTGATTTTCAATTTTTATGTAAATCTGGGATTCCAATATCATTTTGTTGGCTAAAGAGTTGTAGGCTTCACTGCAACAAAGTATTAAATCGTATAGATGATTTGTCAGGTAATCGAGTTGAATTATGATTTACAAAGTTAGAACGTTTTTCAAGCAGGTGCAAATATGATTGGCAATACAGGAAAAATGAGTGATTGATTCGACTCCTGTGTCGC